GCACCGCCGCCCCGCCCCACCCCGATGCACCGAGCGGAGCCTCGTAGACACAGACACCTGTCACCGCCTCCTCCTGGGCCTTCTCGCCTTCTTGTCCAACCGCCAGAAACAAATTGCATCAAAGGGGCCGCGCCGAGGGCCGCGCCGAGGGTCGCGCGCACCGAGGCCGCCGTCGAGCCGTCAGAGGCCCTGCGGCACCGTCCGCCCCGCCCCCGCCCCGCCCCCGCCCCCGGCACAAGGACGGGGAATATGAATAAAAATAGCGCTTTTGAATGAACACCTCGGCCGGCCCGCCCCGCCCCGCCCCGCACTCCCACGACCCTCCTGAATGGGCTGGGGGCCTGCAGCACCCTGCAGCACCCTGAAGGCACAAAGCCGCGCCAGTTGATATCGTCACTCGAACTTGACTTCCATTCCGCGGAACAGAAGGGGCGTCGCCCCGCCATTGTGAGCGCGGCGCGGCTAAGTGTTGATTGCGCACAACATCGAGAGTATCGAAAGGAAAGCGCGCCGTTCGGTGCCGTGCGGTCGGAATGGCCATTCTGGCGGGTCAGTGCGGTCAGGGGGAAGAATTAGAGCGCACCCGGCCCTGGCGACGCGGCGGTGGCAGTGTAGTGTGGTGGCTCCACAGCGCGCCGCCCAGCCAGTCGAGTGAAAGCAGGCAGATTCCTCGCAGAAGACCTTGATGAATTTGTTGGGCCTCAAGAGCGAAGGGTTGCGCTCGGTGTTGTCGCCGTCATTTCTTCCTGTAAAAGGAAAAATATGAAAGACAGCTGGCCGATGCCGCCTCCAGTCTGGAAGCTTTGAAAGCCTGCCTCCAGGGCCTCCAGGGCCTCCAGGTCCTCCAGGCGGATGATCGCGCTGATTCCGCGTAAACAAGATGAAAGGCTTCAAAGCGAATCGAACAGCGCTCCTCCTTTTTCCTTTATTTCTCGTGCATTCTTGGCTTTTTTAACCGGCCGAGTGTCCGCGAGAGTGCGTCTCTGCGCTGCGCGTCTCCGTCTAGTCAATGGGACAGTCGCGTTGCGTCTCTCTGTCTCTCTCTGGTCAATGGGACAGTCAATGGCTCGGCGTGAGTTATGGCCCGGGGCGTTCCTTTTATATCGCGACCTGCGTCATTTCGAACGGCGTTCCGTCGCTCTGTCTCCCTCGCACTCACGGCGCGTCGTCCGCGAGAGAGACAGAGCGACGAAACGCTGGCCTGGATCCTGGATCGTAATGAGTGACTTTTGCGTTTTGCATACGAGTTGCGCTGTGCGATGATTTGTAGCAGGCGGTGGCTGTGAGCTGCGGCGCCGAGCACCGCCTTCTTGTTCTTCTTGTCCCTGTTTCGCGGCCGTTGCGCAAGGCGTGCGAGGGGGCCGAGCCGCGGAGGAGCTCGCCGACATCAAAACGAGCCGGTAAACGGTGAATCCGTGAGAACGCCGCGCTCCGACACGGACTCCCATGCCGCACCTCGCTCTGTCCCTCTCGCACCCCTGCGGGCCTGCGGGACGCCCCGCGAGAGCGAGAGAGACAGAGCGACGAATGCCAGCCGGGGGATGACGCGATGCGCCCTGTCGAATCGGCAATCGGCTGGCCTGCCACCTCCTCATCCCACGCATTTACAAGTGCGAAAGATTGGGCGTGAAAACGGCCTCCTTGTGGTGCTGCGCAGCGCTGCAGCCACACACCTGCCTGCCTGCCTGCGGCAGACTGCGCGTCGCCCCCGCGCCACTACACTGCCAACCACTGCGGGCTCGCTCGCCTGGAAGCGGCTGGAAGGGGCGGCTCCTGGAAGCCGCTGGAGTGGCGGCAGTGGCCGGGAGACGTGTTCCCACGCTGCCCCGCCCCGCCCCCACCCACTGACCCCTTCGATTTTCGATCCCCCGGCGAGGCAGGGCGAGGCAGGGCGAGGCCCGCCGCCTCTGTCACTTCAGACAGGTGCCGGGCCGTGCAGATGCCTTGCCGATGCCTTGCCGATGCTAGGGCCCTCTGTCGCGCTCTCCGTTTCGCCGCGTGCTCTCGATTCCATGGAATTTCGGTAAATCGCCAATCGCCGTCGTTCAGCTCCAGCGCGCCAAATTCGAAAAACATAGAGTAAACATTGAGAGAAGTAGCGGCGCGCAGCACGCATTGTCTCGGCTGTCTCGCCCTCAATCATTTCAGGATTAGCGTGCGGGGCGGCCTGGCCGGGCCTGGCGGGGTAATCTCCCTCCCGCCCCTGTCGCCCCTTTCGCCCTGCGCCCCTTTGTGCCATCTCAGAAAGTTAACCACCGTCGCCTCGCTAATTCCTGCCCCAAAGTTGCTGCCCCCACCCCTGCGTATCTCCCCCCCCCCCCCCCGCCCCCTCCCTTCCGCCCTTATCTTCCAGGCGGCCAAAATTTCGTCCAATTTTCGCTCGTAAAAGTGGAAGCTTGCAGGTTAATTGAGAGAAGCAGCGCCCGCCGCTCCGGGCCTGGTCCGGCGGAGCGGCGCTATAGCAGCGCCGGGGAGGAGAAAGGGAGAAGTAGGCGGAGGGGAAGAAGGAGAAGATGGAGGAGGAGGGGTGCGGAAATGAAGCCAGGGGCCGCAGAGAGGCGCCGAAAGGGTGAACGACGTGAACGAGGAGGAGCAGATAGCCGCATCAGAGTGGCAAATGTGTTGCGGGACGGCCGCAGATTTACCGCCACGGCAAGTCGAGTCATTCTGACTAGGACACGGAACGGGCTGGAATGGAAGTGAGTGAGGAAAACGTCCGGCAGCCGCAGATTGCAGCTGAAGGCATATTGGTTAGGTTAGGTTCGGTTAGGCCAGGTTAGGTTAGGTTAGGATATGTTAGGTTAGGTAAGGCGTGATTAGGTTAGGTTGTCAGGTCAGGATAGGTTAGGTCAGGTTAGGTTGGGTTTGGTTTGGTTAGGTTAGGTTGGGCTAGGTTAGTTTACGTTGGGTTACGTTAGGTGTTCAAGGTACGAGTGGCCTGGAGGGCGTCGAGGGGTCGTCCGGCGGGGCGTCGCCGTCGTGGTCCGGCCGGCGGGGCAGCGGAGATAGCATCGCCCACCGGACAGCAGCGTGCGGCGGCACCATCAGCCCCCCGACGACGCCTCGCCACACCCTCAGGGCTCGCCTGGCTCGCCTGGCTTGGCCCAGCAGGGCCGAGGGCCTTGTGGGGGGAAGCGCCGGCCGAAGAATGGCGGAGGGGAAATTGCTTTCCGATGGAGAAAAATGAGGCGCCCTAATCTCTGGGCCGGCCGCCACCCCGCGCCGTGCGGGGAGGGGAGGGGAGAGGAGGGGGAGGGGCTTATAAGGGTGGCTCCGCTGTTTTATTGTCTCCTCTCAATGCGCCGCTTGCGCCGCCAGCGCGGCCACCAGGGCCGCCACCAGCGCCCCTCCCCGGATGGGATTTGGCACCGAGTTAGCGGCCTTCTTTATGACGGCCCGGCGAGCCCCGGCCCCTGCCCCGGCCTCAGCCCCAACCACTGCACTGGAGTCGCTGGAGAGGCGACAACGCACCCACACTGCACCCTCCGTGAGCCGCGAACGCCGCGCGTCCGGTGTTTTCGGTTTGCTAGCGCGTGGTTTCACAACCTGCGAGCTGGAGGTGGAGGAGAAGATTCGCCGCGTCTTCCGCAGTCAGACCAATCCTGCGATCGAGAAAACTCAAGGTTCTCCCCGGCGGCGGCCGAAGGCTGAAGCATTTTCAAGTCAACTGAAACACGTCATTGGGCAATCGGGTGTGCGTGGCTGGCTGGCTGGCTCCTGGGCCCGAGCCTCAGGAAGCACACGCCATCGTGGCAGCGCGACTTGCCCCGAGGGGCCGAGGGAAGGGGCGCGGGGGCCTGGAGGAGGGGGGGGAGGGGGGCAGGGCACTTCGCCCCATTGTGAGCAGGCGCCGCCATTATCCGTGTAAGCGCGCTCAACCACATGGCACCGAGATAAGCGGCAATCGTTTGTTGCCGCTAGAAGGCGCTGATGGTCCTTCCCCTCCCCTCCCTTCCCCCACCCCCTCTCGGGGCCCTTTGCCCCGCCCTTCACCCGCCCTTCGGGGCTCCGCCTGCTCCGCCTCAAGTGCCTGGCGGGGCCCTGGCGGCGGGGCCCTTCCCGCCCTTGCTGCCCCGCGATAGGCCTGGATAGTAGGAGCGCCAAGTTTTGCGGCGGATTTTCAAGCTGTAGCAGGAGCGGCGGAATCGTCCCGAAACCAGAACAAAGTTCACAATTTTTGCGTGGTTCTTGTGGTGATGTTTGTGGTTTCAGCGAGTGCGGCAGAACCTCCCCCGAAGGCAGTGAAGGCGGTGAGGGCACGAGTGTTGAAGGACTCCAGGACCATCGCGAGGGTGGGGTCGAGCGGCATCAGGCTGGGGAGATCCCGTCGGTCTGTCTCTTCCGCACCCTCATGGGACGCTCCGTGAGTGCGAGAAAGAGAGAAACCTTCCGCTCAAAGTCGGCCTGCTGGAGAGGAAATTACGGAATGGCGCGAGGAAAACTTGTCCCCTCCCCCTCCTCTGCGTCCTCGGCGGGGAAGAAAGGCCGATAACGAGACAATGATGCCATGATGCTGGAGCGAGAAGGCGGAACATAATGCCGCGGGGCTCCAGCCGCTGCAGCCAGCCCTCCAGCCCGGCGCGGCCAAATGAAGCGAGCTGATGAAGAGAGCGCCGCGGCTCCGTCTTTGCTCCAGTCTCGCGCATCGCGCATCGCTCTCGTCTAGTAAATTGAAACCGGAGTGTGGCCAGCTGAATCGGAAAGGCAGGATAACGGGCGGCCCGCCCCGCCCCGCTCTGTCAAACGGAATGGCTTTTCCGATGACGGGTCGCCAGAAGCTCTTTGGAGACGAACGGAACGGACTCTGCAGAGAGAGAAAACGGCCCCAACCGCGCGCTCTGGAATCGAGTTTCGGGCGGGTGAAGGTGAAGGTGCAGTCGGCGTTGGCGCGCGTTTCGTGAGTTTGAATCTTGGCGGGGTGCGGAGCGGAAGTAGGGGGCGTCGCGCAGCAGCCGTGATCGGGAAGGCCGTGCCTTGCCTGTCGGTTGTCTTCTGCAACTGCACCCTCTCCTCCGCCCCTCTCCCCTGTCAGTGTCAGTGATAGTGTAAACAATAACAAGTTCAAGGGATATTTCAACTGATTTCGGTTTTGATTCGAGATGGCTCATCTGCAATATGTTGATGAGCTAGTGAGGGAATACTTGCTGTATCGGGGATTCAGTAACACTCTGAAAACGTTCGATGTCGAACTCAAAGCTGACAAGGATAAAGGTTTCAGGGTAATATAACCTAAGATATTAAATGACATTTCTATATTTTACATTTGTATATACCAAGATTTGGTCGTTTTAAAAAATTTGGATAAGGAGCACGCTAGCGATCGTTTATTTCAGATTTATCTGAGACCCTGTTGCAATTTCTCATGATTACTTTAGACCTGTTTTCTTTGGCTCTGTTTCCACAACAGTATTTAGCATCTTTACTGAATGAAACTTTTGTTTCCAGGTTGACAAACTTGTTGAGCAGCTAACTCAGTATATCTATGCTTATGACCTTACTGCTCTTCGTGAACTCTGGGCTCATCTTGATCATAGAATTTTTACTCGGCTGGAACAAGAGTTTACCCCAGGTACGATTGTGGCCTCATTTCCCTGTGTTTGTTGTTATTGACAACTTCTTATTTTGGGTACAGCAAAGTGAATTATGTCTTGATCTCTTGTTTTTTTCAGCTGTCCGGAAGCTTGAAAATGCTGTGCTTAAAATGTATGTGGTAAATGCAGTTGTGAATGGCAAAGCAGACAAATTAAATGAGTTCTTTACTCGTCTTGCTTCTGAACTGCAAGGACAAGGAGAATGGAAGGACTGGTTCTGTACGTTTAAGTATTTCAGTCAGCACAAACCTCTCTACACTCATGGCTTCAAGTTATGAGGGTGAAGAATTTTTTCTGTGTTAGTGCCTCCAAATAATTTATTTTTTTCTCTGTTTTGTTTAGTAATCCCCTTCTTGAAGAATCCAGAAGAGAGCCCCACATTTGCTGTACATTTTACAAGACAATGGCAGGACACTCTTCTTGTGTCATTACATAATTTTCTTGCCACAATATTCCAGGTGAACCATAGCAAAGTGCCTCGAGTTTTCTAACTTCTGCTATGTTTCATTTTACTGATACTGTTCTTCTCTAAACTAGGTCATGCCATTGCCAACCTTAGCTACACTGGAACAGGATGCCACACGGGCAAAACGTTTGCAAGAAGAGAATGACTCTCTACGTCATAAAATTGCAGCACTAATGGAATTACCGAATGCAGCAGCATTGATATCTGCATTGAACAATGCTTCAGGAGTAACTAGTTCCAATTCTGGTCCACCAGGCCCAGGTTCATCTATTCAAGATGTCATACCCCCTGAAGTCCCGCAACCTACTGATCTTATGGACGATTTCTACATCATTGCTCCGTAAGTTAAAAATGGTCATTAAGAAGAAATCCATCCAATATTCAATATTGTGTGGATTTTAAAACTAGATCATTCATTTTAATCTTTTATTCAGGGAAGGAGGAGGCTCTCAGCCTTCATCATCTGACAGTCAAGTCAAAACGCTTAAGAGCTTGATTCGTAACATTGGAGGACTTCCTAGTAGTCCAATAATGGGCCGCAAACCAACACCAGCAACATCTCAGTCCACTCTTCTTTCACATTCCAGTAAGAATTATTATTTTAGAAGTTTCCTGTCTAATAATCTTATTTTATGAGTTCTTTGATGAATGCTCTAGGTGGTGGGAAAATGAAAATCACATCAATAGCAGGAGGAGTATCAGCTGACTCCCAGCACAAGAGATCAAGTAGTAAACAGAGACTTGGACCTGGGCGCAGTTCTCCAAATGTTGGGTAATATTTTTAAAATTTCCAGGTGTTATTTTAATTAAACTAACTTTCTGACTAATCATATGTTTGTCTTTGTCAAATTGACTTTTTTGTTTTCTTTTTAACTGTCAGAGTGGAAGTTTCTTCTTCATCTGCACGACCCACTTTAAATGTTCATGGAACTTCTACTAATGTAAGTAGAAATGTGACAAGTACTACAGCCCCACAGAGAGGTAGAGCTCGAGAAATCCCGCCTGAGGGCAACACTGCTGCTCGGCAGCCCACAACACCACCAGCAGGTGCTTTTCTCATATTGAGTCAGGTATGTTAAGCTCAAACATAAAGTGGAATACAATAACCTTGTGGCCAATTCCCCTCAGTGAGTCTAAAAAAGTTACTTTCCTTTTTAGGAGCATTACATGGAGCACAAAGTTGCTGCCAGTCACTGCCGCTTCAATGCCTCAGGCACCATGGTGGCAAGTGCGGATGTTGATGGAGTTATAAAAGTCTGGGATGCTGCGCAGACTCTGAAGTAAGTGCATTTAAATAAGGAAGTAGTTTAACGATATGCTTTAAGTATTTTCAATCTTTTTCTTTTCTGCACAGAACAGTGGCATCATTTGATACAAAGTCTAAATTACTAGGATTGGATTGGATATCCAAAAATGAACGCTACTTCATGGCACTAAGTGCTACTGGTAATGTAAGACTTCTAGATACAAATCTTAGCCGTATATTGTGGGAACTGAATGGTGAAAATAATAGCAATTTGAAAGGCTCAAGGTACTTTAAATACTCTCAATTTCTTTTGGATTTTTTTTATGCCAACCAATTGTAACTACTTTACCTCACGCTTTTTGCAGATTGCTAAATTTAGCCTGCAGTCCTATAGAACCAGCATTCTTGTGTTCTATTGCACCATCTCAAGGCCAGGGCAAATTATTATTGTTTGACATAAAAACCAAACAGTTGCAGGTATGTTTGTTGGCTGATTGTGCTATCCTGTGTTTTTCAAATTTTGACAAGAAATTGTTGTGAAATTTTATTTTTCTGCTCTATTTTTATTCAGAGATCACTTACTTTGAACGGCAATCAGAACCTCTTAGCCAATTGCTTTGCTTTCAATCACAATGGACAGCTTGTGGCTGTAGGATGCTCGGATGGCAGTGTCCAAGTGTTTGATATGAGGCGTGGTTCATGCATAGACACCTGGCCAGCCCACACAGGACCTGCACTTTCACTGCAGCTCACACCAGATGACACAGCATGCTATACAGCTGGATCTGACAATAAGGTACGTCATTTCTAGCCAAACTGCTATCTTTTGATTCATACTTTTGCTTCTACGGTAGTTTGTTTTGTTTCTAGATTTGTGGAAGAAGTATGACTCAAAGTGGACAGATACTATGTGAAGCAACCATCCCAGAATTGGCCTCACCAGTGCAGCTCCCTACCAACACAAGTCTGCAACCCACGCAGTTATTTGCATTTCACCAATCTGGGACTCATGTTCTTGTCCGTTGTGGAGGAGGCTCTGTTGTCTGTCAGGTATATTATTTCTTTTTAAATCTTTAGTCTTTGGAGCAGAAAAGTAGCACTACTTTCTGTTGTTTCTCCCTTAGTACTGTTTGATCATTTCGTTTCTGGTTTTACAATTCATTTATTCCAGGTGGGATCTCAAATGGAGCGAGTCTTGGAACTTTCATCTCCTCGCAGTCCTACAATGGCTATTGATTGGGCAAGTGCGAATCAATGTAGCACTTGTCTAAATGCACACGCCAATGGACACATTACAGTTTCAACCCTTCTCACTCCATAAAACTACTAAACTAAGTGTGTAAAAGACCACTTAAGGACTCTTACATTCAACCAAAATTAATTTTTAGGTGTAATCCAAACAGCTAGTTTCTAATTTGTATTCTGAAATTACTACATGTTATCAATGTTTTCAAAGTACCTGGCTTCATAGGTCTGGTAAAAAGATAATGCTCTCTTATTTCTAGATTTAAGTTAGATACTAGACACTGTATATACCAAGTAATGAATCTGTGGCCGAGTCCTACTATAGTCATTCCCATAAGAAAATCAGAGACCAAAAATAGTTTGATTGGGCTGTGATGAGGAACTTAGCATATAACATACTGTATATTTTCATTTTCTTGGTTGTATGTGGGAAAGGGAGGTGAATTAAGAGTGCACTATAGATTGATGTAACTACATTTATTTCCAATGACAGAGATTTTAAATTCTTAAGGACCAATATTGTCTAACTTGAAAAGTCTGAAAAATATTAGTTAAGTCCATTAGGAATATTGTGCATAATTCTTAAATGTGATATATTTTTTGTCACTGTAGTATGATAGTTGTGATAAAATGTGATAATGGTGTCAAGTACTATTTATAAAAAACCAATAAATAATGATTAAAAAATAATTTAACATGCCATCAATTGATTTGATAAAGGAGGCCCTGCTCGTACTAGTCCTGCTGACTGAGTAAAAACCGGAGACCAATATCGGCGAAGTGCTTCACGTATTTCAGCTGGTGTGATAGGGAGTTTTTCCAACTGAAATAAATTTAAACAGTCACTTAATACACCTTCAGAAGGATAACACACTTGTTAACTGCAGAGGCATCTTACCACATTAGCTGTATTTGAGTTAGAGGGAGGGCGCAATGTAAGTGGCCGGAGTGGTCCACCTGGAAAAGTGCCACATGAATCTTGCCTAACCATAAGTGCAAAATCCACTAGCATTGCTACGGTTTCCTTTGCGAGGTAGGCCAGAATATCAATGGCTGGACTACTGATCCGTGGCAGAGTAACATGCGGTTCTCCAGCTAGGCCTGGGTTCAAATTAGAAAAACAACAAAACAATTAAAGCATGTACATATAGATAGTATTGATGAAATTGCAAGCATAAAAGATTTTGCATAGTAAAAGAAAGGACCTTGACTTGTGTCTATCCCAAGGGTTAGCCATTCCAGGAAACGGTGTTGGGTCAGTTTGCTGTTAACAAATGCTGCTCTTCGAGCATTTGAAAATTCGAAATACCTAAGGAAGACAAAAGAAGTTGGGAGAATTGTGCTGATCGTCTACTTGGATTCAGAGTTAAAACAATTTTCTGCAGAGAAACATACCCAGCAGGATCTAGGCTTTGAGACATGCTATCAGCCCTTTGCTCTCGCTTCTGTCGTATGGGGTCCAAACTTGGACTATTCAAGCTATCTATAAGTTCACCACTGGTATCAATTTCAGTAAACATGTCTCGCAGACTAGCAAGTCGACTTTTTTTTGCTGATTCCCCTTTGAAATTTGAAACATCGCCCTCCATTTCTTCACCAGCAGCTTCCATTACGTCAGAACCAGCGAGTGAGGTGAAGTTTGTTCTCATTTCCTTCACAGCTAAACAAGAGAAACAACAAATAAAATTTAATATACACTTTCTACAAACTTTCATTACATAACATTTAAGATCAGCAAATTATCTTCTCTTACTTACAGAGATAAGAATAAAGCCTTCGTAGCTTGTCTGGATTGTTCCTCATGAGAAAAATAATGTCCCTGGGTGTAACTGTTTTAAATCCTCTACGAATTGCCTGCTCCTCAGCTCGCCATGCAATGTTCAACGCTTGTTGCTGAACAATGCTTGCCACAACTTTAGCTGTAGACTGCAATGGTTTTGCACAGTCTCCGCACCCATGCATCATCAACTGAATTTCTGTTCAAGCATATTAAGTTATCGTTACAATTTTCAAAATACAACACACATACAAAATTAACAAGACACCAATCCAATGAAGTTCCGTACCATGAAGGTATATTTGCTCCGTTTCTGACATTATGAAAAGTAGAGAACAGGCAGCCGTAAAATCCAAAATATCTTATTTTAAGACAGAGGAATCCTGAGAGATTATCAAAATAGTTTAGCAGAAGCCGGGAAACATGCCTGTTTCACCCGCGATGGGTCGGTCTGACAAAAACAAACAACAACATCAAATCAACAACAAAAACAACGGTGGAGTACAGTTTTATTGCCAACACAACGGGAACGACAAGACAAACCCGTCGAGGTTTTGACTGGCTCATTTAGAAGCTTGGACTGTCACCTACAATCGACTTGCAGACACTACGAGCTCATCTTGCAGGGAAAAGAAGTTATTGGTGAAATTTTGATGGATTTCGTGGTAGAAGGTAGACTATGCGCCTTCTAAAACTTTGCGATCCGGACCGCCAGTGTCAGTGTCACGTGACTTGTGATGTCACTTACATGGCGACGAGTTGAATGCAATATCATCCACGACCAGTCTAAATTCAACTTTCGTGGTCAATCTGTGTGACTAATTTATTGCGCATTTTAATACTTAGGAGACAACATGATTATAACTTTGAAAAACCTTCAGCAACAAACATTTACCGTCGATATCGATGCTACAAAGACGGTGAGTAGAAGCTCCATTGATGGCGTAAGCCTATTATTGTTTAAAACTAACCACTAAACGTGTCGGGAGGGTTTGCCGGCGTTCCACTATTTCGTCGTTATGCTCGATTTGCTTTTGAACGCCCTGAATCACGTTGATGTAACTGAAGTGGCGTTATGGCGGGCTCCAAACAATGGCCGACCATAACCATATTTAACTGGCTCTCCAAGTTTATTTTTCCCAGCCCGGCGTTTGCGAATGTCACTCCTCACGCAATTTTATGTGTAGTGAGTTATCTCCTCCCCTGCTGTCAGTTCTCGAATCTATTATTGTCCATAGCTCCAACATGATTGCCTACACCTTACACAAATGGCTTAGTCATCCATATATTGTATGTTACTGGTGTGCATTTAAAGTATTTGTTGTTGTATTAATGTCAATTCCACTTCAATTTCTCAAGTGGCTCAGCTAATTTTTTGACTAACTTGTATTGTTATGGCAACATGAACAACCATTGTTTTTGTTTTGATTGCACCTGTCAACCTACATTTGTTTTTGTGTGTTTCGTAGGTGAAGAATTTGAAAGATGAGATCGAGTCACAGAAGGGCAAAGACTACCCAGCTGATAATCAAAGGCTAATATATGCTGGTGAGCAAATATTGATACTATAATTTCTGCTTGCATGAATCAGCATTCTTTATCTTGCTACTCATTCATATCTATTTGTGTACAGAATTAATACTAATATCAATAACTTTGTTTGCTAGGTAAAATTCTTTCAGATGATAGCCAGCTCAAGGAATATAATATCGATGAGAAGAAATTTATAGTGGTTATGGTTACAAAACCAAAGGCAGCACCCCAACCTTCTGCTGGACCCAGTGATCCCACTGCAACTGCTGCAGGAGACAGTGAAAAGAAGGATATCAAAGACTCGTAAGATTACTTTTGTCCTTTGAATTCAATGTTGCACCTTCTGTGTTCAATTTCATTTAATAATTTAGATTTTGATGCTATCAAACAATAGATGAAAGCTGATGTTCATCCTTTTGTTTTGCTTCTCAGCACTGATAGTGGAGGTCAGTCATCCTCAGCAGCCCCCTCTGCCGCTCAAACTAGTGCACCCTCAACAGGTGGAACTACAGTAACTGCTGGCAGTACTGGAGCTCCAGCAGCCACAGTTTCAACAGCTGAGTCTGCTCTTCTTGTCGGCGATGATTACAACCAGATGGTGCAGAATATTGTGGACATGGGATACGATAGAGATCAAGTAGGTGCTTTCATTCTTGAATTAAAATTTTCACTCAGTTCCTTCCATTAGATTGTGTCTCACATAATTTGGCAACTCAGGTAGAGCAAGCATTGCGAGCATCTTTCAACAACCCTGATAGAGCTGTGGAATACTTGATTAATGGGATTCCGGCTCAGGCTCTTGAAGCTATTCCAAGAGAAGATGGAGCCCCAGATGATGCTGACCCAGATCCCGCTCCACCCTCCTCTCCGGCAGGTAGTACGTGCAAATTCATTTTATTTATGCTTTTTAAATTCTCATGTCAACAATGGGCATTAAGTGACTATGCAGCTCTGGCATTTTTTTGTCCATAATTCTTAGTGTGAAACTCATTTGCTGCTGCTGTATTTTATTCATATATTTTCTTGTCCAATTTACTATGATGAGTTTTATCTTATTCCTCCCTCAGACGAACCTTTGGCCTTCCTGCGGTCTCAGCCCCAGTTCCAACAAATGCGCCAGATAATCCAGTCAAATCCCCAACTCCTTAACACGGTGCTGCAACAGATCGGACAAACGAATCCCGCCCTCCTGCAGCTCATTTCACAGAACCAAGAGGCCTTCGTGCACATGCTCAATGAGCCGGCGGGTGGTTCAGGCGCACCAGCCGCGGCCGCGGAGGGGAACGAGCCCGCCGCCGGCAGGGGTGGCCGCGGCCTCGGCGGCCTTGGAGGTCTTGGCGGCCTTGGCGCGGGAGGTGTTGGTGGCGGCGGCGCCTTTGAAGACGCCCCCGGAGTCATTCAAGTTTCTGCTCAAGACAGGGAGGCCATTGAGAGGGTGAGTAAATGGTGGTAGCTTAGTCTCTCCACTGTTGGTTTGTTTGGTTGCAGTAATGATGAAGTTCCTTTTTCTGTTGGCAGTTAAAAGCCTTAGGCTTCCCAGAACACCTTGTTATCCAGGCGTACTTTGCCTGTGAGAAGAATGAAAACCTGGCTGCAAATTTTCTACTATCACAGAATATGGATGACTGAGTTGAAACCACCAAATCCGTTTGCCATTTCACATTTACAGAAAGTAACTCTTCTATATTTGGTACTACCTTAGTCAATATTTCGTTTAGACTTCTTACTGCGAAGCAGAATAATGGGGCTGTGTTTATACTTGAATTATTCTAGCAACTTGGATTATGCAGAATTGCTTCTGGATTTTACTATTTTTTCTCTATTTTACTTGATGCATCCAGATTGGGCACATGATAGCCTGAATTGACTAGTTGCAAAATGCATGGTTTCCCCAATTTGGTTTGTGTTGTCATTTAATCTTCTGTTAAATTAATGATTTGTTTTTATTTTATACTGATTCCCTCTCTCTCTTTTTCTGTGGTGTGTAACAATTGTACTTCCCGTTTTCCTGATTTGTTGAACCTGTTGCCTTTTGATATCTGCTGGTATGTTCTCCTCGGACACTAGTTGCCTGAGGAGGATGATTGCTAGCAAGTCTGTAAAATTTTGTACATACTACCATGACAATGGTTCTTACAGTCTAGCCAAAGCTGAAGTGCCTTAGCACTTGTATGATCTATAAAATTTTTCATACTTTCAGAAGGGAGGTGATAATGTTGCTAAGGTTAATTGTTCAGTGAAAAGGGTATGTGACTTTGAAAGATTTTAAGTCTCTAGAATCTAATTTATTTAAGGCTTCTTTCCACGAAAGAATGACTTAAGACTGCCGGATTAGGGTGTTTACCCTGGTGCTAACACCATTATTCCAAAAGCAAGAATGCAGTATGAACTTAGTTAAAATCCAGATGGATCTGGTTGGACTGTAAGTGTTTGTAAAATTGTTTAGCATTAATAATAAAAATATGTTATGTCCTTTTGCTAAGTCTGTTTTATAATCAAAACAATTTTATTGCTCAATAAACCTGGAAGTCCAAATGTTAAAAGTACAAACTATACACCTAAAGGGTGAGAAAAATTCTACAACTATTTCAGCTTGTACCATTCAAGAAGGGAGAATACATTTACCTCTCATTGGTGACCAGGTTCCTGTTAATTGACATCTTATACTAAGATCACCACCTCTCTGAAAACCAGATTGACATTCAAAAGTTACCATGTTACCAAATTCTTCATCCTGGCCAACAGCAGTCGTACTAATCAAGACCATATTTGGGAAGTTGGGTGGTGACTGACATTTAATGGCTGTAAATCAACAAATAATAAACTGAAGCTCCATAGAAAACTGTTAAATTTCTTAAGAAATAAAGGAGTAATAGGAATACACACGTTTGCAGGAAGAAGTACTAAGCCATGTTCCATTTTTGCCACATACCATTGTGGATGGTCCATCAAGCCAAAATCCTGGTCTGCATCGCACTTCAACAAAAGTGCCTACAGAATTTTTGATTTCCAATCTGTCAGAAGCGACATATCCAAACTCAGGGGCCTGTAAATTGTAGGATAGCTACAGTAGCTAAATATTCATTTTTTCCTGAGGGGGGTGAAAAACCCAGAGAGTATGGTGACGTACCTTGGGGTGGTCACATGCAACATTCAAATCTGTAACATTCTCCTGTAACTCTGGTAAACACGCTAATAGTTCAAATTCACTACTAGTTGACTCTTGAGAACCACTCATGCTCCAAGAACCATCAAGTTTGCACTCCCAAGATAATTTCCCTCCTGGCACTCGTTCTGCAATATAGTCGTTGGATTCCAATGACCCACCTTTCGCTCTGCTAAGTCGATATGTTTTCTTACAAGAAAGGGTGGCTTTGTCATGAACTTCCTCTCCAGTGAGATCAAGAATTGAATGAGGTAAATCATATGGAAGCCCCTCGGTATCACATGTTACCTTTGCACACTGAGTTATTTCCAATGGCCACCACACTTTATCTTTGCAAAGTTTGTTCTTAGGTCCAGAAATATTGTAGTCAGTTTCACACACAGCTGCCACCACCGAGCCTAGAGAATAATTGGCATTGGCGATTACCAAGCCATGCTTGAGTTTCCATGAGCCATGTTCCAGGTTTTCAGGCTGCAAGCAATGTTTCAGCTCACATACAGGCAAGGTCGCATTAGACTGATCTTCTGGATTGGGCCAGTGTGGACACCAGTTTCCCTCTTCATTACACTGCATGACACCAGGACTCCCAGGGGCCAGTTCATATTCAGGTTCACACTCATAATATACTTTTTCTTCGTACAAAAACTGTTTCCGTGAATTTTTCTCAAAACCACCATGAGAAATTCTGTGAAAAAAATATTATGATGGGACATGAAAATCTAGGCAATGTCTTTTCCTTGTAATTATAATTGAAATACCTACTCAGGTGGACTAGGACATGAGTTACGTAGACAATCTGGCATTGTTTCATCCCAGGTACCATCATACATGCATGTAAGAATATGAGCACCATCAACATGGAACCCATTGTCACATGAAAAAGTAGCAATTTGAATACCCCCAGCTTTTTTGCCCAAAGCAATTACACCATGTTCTGGTGCCTTCAGAGGTTGGCACTCACTACCTAAATATATCAAACTTATTATAAAATTGAATTATTATTACTATTTTGTTAATGTTGTTATTCGGACATGTGATACCTTTACATATGGGAGGCTCCCCACTCCATTTTCCATTAGCCTCACAAACTCTGGTTGTGTTTCCAAGGATTTGGGCACCAAAGTGACACATGTACTTAATCGTGTCTGTATAAAGAAATGAGCGTCCGGTGAATGTCCCACCGGGAAGGTAGCCTGGGAAACCACAGCTACGGCCTGTAATTTAGGGCATCTATTAATACTGCTTTTACAGACATAAACGTTCAGAATAATTTATTATAGGGGCACAAAAGTTCTACTGACGCACACACTCAGGTGGATCTCCTTCCCAAGACCCATGCTTAAGACAATACCTCTTGACAGATGTCAATTTGGATTTATGTATTACAAAACCATCATCACACTCATAAGAGGCATAAGTTACATCATTTGCTTTGACCAATTTCACAGTTCCATGCCATAAGGAGGCAAGAGTAGGGCATTCTGAACAAAATGTTGAATTTTCCACCTGCAAAAGACAAAAAGAGAATTATGATTCTGACTCATCCTTTCCAAGAAATTATTTTAACAGACAACCTGTACCTTAATTTTACCACGAATATTGGGTAGAAAATCAGTCCATCTGACAACAGAACCATCAAGACTTAGTGTGCATTCTCTAGCCAGAGTGATAATTCTAGTGAAGCTCAACATGTAATCCCACACATCTAGCTTATAAACACGCCCAATGAGTGACTCAGACTCACTAAACCCTCCTCCAATTCTGTCCTGCTCTTGTCCTAAAACCAATTTTCCCCCACCTGAAAAAGTAAGTTAAACAGCTGAGTGCATGCTAAGGTATAAATTTGCAGGTAACAACAAAACCATTAGGCTGCATTACCTCGGACGTGATGATTTGAGGACAGTCCAGATCCCATATCTCTTAGAACTCCGTCAAGGTGTATGCTCCACAAACCCTGATTACTTTGCCAAAGAACACATATATGATGCCAGAGTCCATCATTGGCTGAGACATCGGTAACAACTCGGTCCCCATTGACATACAACACAAACCTGTTTTGGTAAGAAAATCCATGTAACAAAATTAGGATTCCGGTCAAAAATTTTGTTTTATTTTACAAACTATTTTTTTTCCTTACCCATTGTAATCTGTCAGAGTGAATGTGTTAGATTGATTTTCAGTAGCATAGGAAAATGCGGTGCCATAATTAAAACCATCTTTAGACTTCAGCCAGAGACACGTCGTCAACTAACAGGCAATTAACACCATAAATTCCAATTAAAAACTATAAACCAAGATAACAGCCATTATATTTCGGCTTAAATTACCTCAGTGAAATTTTGTGAGGGAAAATCGACCATGGAATAGTCGGTAACACTTGGAGAATGCATATACAAAATAAAATTTGAATGCAGACCTAAAACATTTAAAACATTTGTTATACTTTCCATTTAGCAATACAAAACATAAAATGAGAAGAGGAAAAAAATTACTTGTTTGGCAGATGTATCCGGCAAAGTTTGCTGGGCAGTGGCATAGGAATTTTCCTTCCTTCCTTTTTACACAAGTGCCATTGTTTAAACATGGTGAGGGTAAACAGCCATTAAGTTCTTTATTACAATGCTCACCTTCCCAGCCAGGTGGGCAAATGCACCTGAAAGTTTAAACTTATATGCAGACAAGTGCTCTAACACAATAAAGTATGTTTGAGTCTTGGAAATACTCATATGCAACTTAAAAATATTTTACCTGTATTTTTTTGTATTTAAAGGGACACAAGAGCCACCATTGAGGCAAGGATTTTCTTCAAAGCACGGATCAGCAGGTTCTGTTTCACAGTAACGGCCTGAATAACCATCAGTACAAGAGCAGGTGTAATTTGCCACACCATCAATGCAAAGCCCATGATCACCACAGGGACCATTAAAACAATCATCAATGTTTTCATCACAATTTAGTCCTTTAGGGAAAAAACACCAATTAAGTATAAAAAGAATCAAAATAAGGATAAAAGTTTTCTTCCCACACTGATTGCCAAGGTAAATTAATTTTACCTTGAAATCCCTCCAAGCAATCACAAAAATACCCATTATTCAAATCTTCACAAGTGCTATTGTTTAAGCAAGGGTTTGGTATGCATTCATCAATGTCATCCTGTAAATTAAAAGCTAATAAGTACATAACAGCCCCCTAAACCGTAACATAACATCAAAGGCAAAATATTACCTCACCTGACAGTTTTTACCATGAAAACCTGGTGGACATTGACACTCATAACCTGAAGGCTTTTTGTTACTACACTGGCCGCCATTCAGACATGGACCTGAACTGCAATCATCGATTGCCAGCTCACAGACAGATCCTATACACAGGAATGAGATGCTTAACAGCCCACAATGAATAAAACATGCCAAAGTCTCAATAAATTACCATAAAATCCTCGCTGACAATCGCATGAAATAAAACCAAGCGGGATAGATCTGCACGATCCTCCATTTTGACAGAGATGAGAAAGGCAACTACTTGGAGAAGACCAGTTGGCTTTACCAGACATCTTCAAACATTCTTTAATACTTTTTGCTCCTTTTTTAAATGAATGCAGCCCTGGTGGACACTGTAGACAGTTAGTTGCTCCATAGTTCGGTTGAAATGAGCCAGTATTACATGGAAAGCATGGAGAAACTGAATTTCCATTTTGAGCTCCTGACTTGAAGGTACGTCCATATGTGCCAGGCTGACAAAGATCTATTAAAGGGAATTTTAAAAAAATTTGAGCACATAAACAAATTTAAGAAAGTATACTGCATTCATAAAACAAATACATATACACACAATTACAATCAAGTACACTCTGAGAGCTGTCATATCTAGTAGACATTCCATTAGGACAGCTAAAACAACTTGACTGTCCTTTTAAATTTTGATACTTTCCAAGCGGGCAAGGAAGACATTTGTGAGGAGGGGTTGTGAAAAATGATCCAGCAGGACATTTCACTGAAACAAAATATTTCTGAATAAGTTCTTAAATAAATTGATAAGTAGATTAAGTGACCTTAAGTTATTACCGCAGAAGCCTGAGCTGTGAGGCACACTTCCATTGGCACAAGTCAACACTTCTTTTCCTTTCCAGTACATTGTTTGCTTGCTGATATTTGGTGGAAGGGTAATTAAGCTTCTGCTAAGAGAATCCTTTAACTGGCTCAAACCACCATTTCCTAGCTGTCTTGCTTCTGGCTCCTCTGTATCTTTTAATTTTAGGAAAAGATACCAATTAATCAGAAAAAGGGGGAAATGTCCTAATCAATCAAAAATTTCATACTTACGAAACTGAGTGTTCACAGTAAATTGAATATTAATGCTGCTGGCAGATGACCTTGCAGTTGTATCTCTTCTTCTAAATTTTGATTCATAGGACTCTTTCGAGGACAATGAACCGATGCTACGTTTTCTGTGGTGAATAGTATTTGTTTCCTCTTCTTCAAGGGAGGCAATTTCTTCACAGGTTGCATTTGTATTAAGAATGTTACATGATGTTTCAGTTGTATTACAAATATCTTCTGATCTTCTAGAGAGCTCTAGCTGCACTAAGTGTTTTACCTACAAAACACTAGAAGTGAAAAACATGCCAGAAAAATCTGAATAAACAGTGGTCAACTCACACACACCTTTGATAACAGCTCCCTGTCACTGCATGCACCCTTATTCGCAATGAATGTCATCTCTCCTTCTTGAGATATGCTGTTTGGCAACACAGTTTCTGTAATTTCAAATAAAATAATATTTAAAAATCAGTGCAATCATAGCTAATTAGAGATGCAAATTTTCCAGAAACTTTCAAAGGGTCGGAAAAAACCCGGAAAAGTTGGAAAAAAACCCAGAAAATTTGGAAAAAAAGGAAAAATAGGAAAATTTAGTTTTTAGGCACTATGAACATGAAACCTACTACTTTTGTGCTTTGTTACAACTTAACTTATATTGACAACCCGAGATTCACAACAGCAAGCTCAAAAAAACGCACGAGAAGGAATCATAACAGGGTATAAGTAGTATGAGTGCACTGAGAATCGTATTCACATAGGGATAAAGGTATGCTTTTAGCCTACTTTCAGGCGAAATGCCCGACTTTTTGCCAACTTTTCAGGCTGAATCTTTCCAATTTTTCCGAGGCCAGGGAAAAAAACGGAAAAAAACACTGTTTTTTTCCAATGTTTCCGGAAACTTTCCGGGCATTTTCAACCCTATAGCTAATTTTATGCACAAATGTTCTGTTCTATACCTCTACATTGGGGTAGAGTGAAAGAGTCAATAAATTGCTTGTACTTTTCATTTTTCGAAACAGGGCATGAAAAATACAAGGAGCCATTTTCATACATGGTTAAAAAATCAGTTTCTTCAATGCCATTCATATCAAACACATAGCCTTCATGACATGTTGTAGAGCAGTTGATTGAAATATCACCGTCAAGGTTGCAAACGGTTGTGGCATGAGGAGGCTGATGCCTGCATGGACTATCTGGAAATGGTCACAATTAAAATAAAATAGTGAAGTCAGAAGGATAAGAGTACAGGAAACATATCTAATAATGAAAACCAAGTAAAACCGGTTTGACAAACCTTCCACAACAATTTCAAGCACACAAGTACTATTGTTACCAGATTCATCAATTGCCACAACTTTTACATCCGTTTTACCAACAGGGAATTCCCCATAAGAATGTGAGCTCACCACCTGTGATCAAAACAACATAAAATGTATATGGCAAGACCACTTAAAATTAAACAAGTACCGACGGCCTGAAGGATATTCTTTGCACACTAGCGACAGAAACACCACTTACTCTCGGCTTTTTTCCTGAATTGTCATAGAATTCTGGCTCTAACCAAGAGACAGTGCGGTTGCCCCCAGTTTCCATGAGATGAATATGGTTGGGAGATATACAGGTTTCAATCATTGGAGGTTCCTTGTCTGGAATAATAAGATGAAAGCTTACTTTTCTTCTTGATGGCTTGAGAAGAGTCAGTCAAAGCACTCACACCACATACCTAACACAGTGATGGTCATATTACACTGAGCTTGATTGTGACTTGAATCCATAGCTATGAAGGTAATTTGAAGGATACCTATTGGTATTTTCATGGGTAAGGACAAAGTAGGTTGAGACCAGACAAAAGGTGGCTGGCCAGAATTATCTAAAATAAAAAAAAATAAAAATAACCCAAACAAGAGTTTACGTTGAATACAACAATATCAATAAAGAGACTGCAGAAAATACATACCGGAAGTTACAGGAGAAGGAATCACAATTGTGGCAAATGCCTCACCAGTATCAGATGATGTTTCAATATTGGCAGGGCACAAAATGGCAGGAGGCTCTTCATCTAGCCAGAACATGAGCGGATTAAAATATAAGATTACAGTGATTGATAAATAAAGGAGAGTCACTTCCAACCATACCTAGGCACTTGCTGGCACTTGACTTTAATGACCACTGCCCACCTTTCCCGCCACACTTACGAGAAATTGGGCCCACTAGTTTGTAGCCTTTCTCACAACTTATATTGCACCTCTGTCCAAAAGGAAGCTTTGAAGAGGCTGTGCAGGATAGAGGTGTGACTAATCCATTGAATACTTTAGGCAGAGGCCGACACGTAATAGCTAAAATAAAAGGAAATATTTTTTTTTTATTTTTAGATTTGAAATTGTTTATGACAAATGTGATTATAACTTACGTTTGCACACAGTGCGGAGTCCATCCCAACGGGCCAAAGGGAGACAAATGCGTCGTCTAGATCCAACAAGTAAATGACCAGGTCTACATGTGAACTGACACTCTGTATCAACAGCATAAAGAAGAGATTTAGAATCGTCTCCTGCAGGATCCAAAAAATCATTTGACATAGAGGGTGGAAGTGAGCATTTCAGATCTCCATTTTGAGGCATCTCTGGATTAGGACACATTTTCACTGTAATGAAAAACAACAACAAAAAACATATGAATCATTAGGAAAATTAGAATAGTTGACAAAAATTGTCACACAAAAGAATATGTAAAATTGTTTAATGATATTACCAATGCACTTTGGCTCTTTTCCAGACCAAGTGCTGTTTTCCTGACAAAGACGTATACTTGACCCATGTAAGGTGTAGCCTGCTTTGCACCTCACTCCACAAGCGGCATTAAAGACCCTTTGACACAAGCCTCCTTTCACAAAATATCCATTTTCTGGTGGATAAATGGGTGGGCATGTTATGACTGCAAGGCAAAACACAATTTCATTTTTAAACAATTGCACTCTTGGGAAAGACTTACTACACCCATGGCAACAATGGCACTGATAACAATAGAGTTGGTCAGGTTGCCTCTGAAGGTGGCAGAATAATTTTAAAACCCAAATAAAAATAGAAAAACACAAAACCATCAGAAAAAAAATCATTCAGGCTGACTCTTAAGTGATTAGCTTTGAAAGCAACTGTCTTTGAAGTATGACTATGACTACTTAAGATTGGTTAACTATGGCAGTCTCAGACCAAGACTTAAAGCATTTTGGAGTAGCGGCTGAAGAAATATGGAAAGCACGAGTTGTAAAAGAAAAGCTTATAGCCTCGCAATGGCCTGTAAAATGGAGCTGGATGGTGGATGAATATAAGTGAGTGCCTTACTGAGACTTGAAATCTCTCTAGACTTGGCAAGTTTCAGCACCACAGGATATTTGTTTCTTTACAGTGTGATGGCTAAGCAGTTGGATGAACTGAAAAATTTACGTCCTGTGATAGGCAGGCCAAAACCAGTAGAGATACGTTCCTGTAAGCCCATGCCCGACACTTCATCAAGAGTGGTGAGAGACATATTAAATGAAATTGTATGAGGGGATGTCCAAGTGCTCTTTTAATATGCTTTTAATATGCTTTTAATATGCCATATAGATTGGATGGCTGACAAACCGACCAGAATTTCGGCTCGAACTATATGGACCCTATGTGAAGAAGTATCCAATATTTCCACCACCTATTGACTGAAGGTTTCCAATCCATAATGAAAGATTGAAAAGTATTTTCTACAGCATTATAACAAATTACGAGTAAATATATTTTTGCTTTGTTTATTTCTACTCACTTTCACAAAAGTCACCACGAGCAGCAAAGCCTTTTTTGCACACACAGCTGGCTCTTGATGACGCATTCCCTACGTTTGTGATGTGATTAGGGTCAGGACATGGTAGGCAAACTGACTCATCACCTGCTGACAGACCATCATGGTATGTTCCACTAGGACAAGCTATATAAAAAAAAAGAGTGAACATGATCAAATGAAGATCTAAGATTTAGAACTTAGTCTATGAAAATTAATTAGAAAATTTACGTGTGCATGAGTCTTTTAATCCTGAGCCATAGTAGCCAGGGTTGCAAAGGCATCTATAGTGCCCCGTCCCAGTGCCGCATGAGCAACGAGCTTGGGCATCACAGCAGCCACTAGAGTTTCTGGCAGAACATAATAAATTGCAGGGAGCCATGTCGGTTAGGACTTGGTAAAACCCAGAGGAAAGATCTGCAAACATAAAAAAGGTATATATAAATTTCTACATGTATTTGGTGTTGGTATGTTGGAGGTTTGTGGTTTCACACAAAGTCATTCCCCTTCACCTTGATGAAGAGCTCTTCTTACCACAGCTTCAAATTGGCCAAAACTATCTACAAAATAAGAAAAATGCTCAGCAGGAGGTGAGGATATATTTTGAAGCTCAATAATATTTCCTGATTGTATGCCAAAAGTAAAAATGTAAGTTCCATTATCTTTGAGGATCTGAGCTACTGGCACAGGATCACCCCCATTTGAAAATCCATCTGTGATAAGGAAGACTGCTTTTTGAGCTCCCTCTCTTGACCGCATCAACACTCCCTAGGAAAGAGGCAAATCCATGATTCATAATTATTGTTTTTTATTGCTCTTGAATATCAAGATAACATACCTGTGCTTCAAGTAATGCTCCTAGTGTGTAGGTCAGACCACCTGTGTAATTAATGTTCAAAAGATGGCTATGTAACATGTTGCACTTATGGTTTTCTGAAGATGGATCAGTTATGTGATCAATATGACGAATCTGTAAACATTAGAATGAAAAGCAATTAGAAGAAAAGATGTTTAAATATCTGGAAAATTTTCAGAGAGCAAACATACCACTTTATCTGGATCAGAAAACGTGATTACAGCAACTCTTGTTTCATTCACAGCTATTGTGAAGTCTGCTAGCAACTTTTTGACAAACTTGAGCTCACTGATAAAATTTTCATCACCCATACTTGACGAAGCATCAATTAAAAAAACTATGTCCAACTAAATTGAAAAGAAAGATTTTACTTTAGGAGAAAGCCGAAAGATGTGGCCTTACAAATTCCATTTATCTTTCTCAGTCCAGTCATAGTCCCAAGATAGATGCATGGCATTGTGCGACCACCTAAATACTCAAACATTGATGATTCCATAAATTTTAAGACTTGTACCTTCCTGTTATCACGCATTTGAAGCATCTCTACTTTCTTTTTCAATATGTCTCCCAATTCATCCACTTTTTTCTTAACATGGCTTTGATTATTGAATAATCTGTTGCCTTGATTTTCTTGCGCTTTCAATGTACTGATAACTTCAGTGGCTTCCTCTCCCCCTTCCACAAGTGACACCCCATTCCACGTCGTCCTTTCAAAATCTTCATCAAATTCGGATGTTGTAGAAGAAGAAAGAGCACAGTTTGAAGCACAATTTAACAACACAAGGGACAGCGCAGAATACCAGTGCCACTTGCTGGCAAAATACATTTCTCTGTTAATAAGTAAAAATACACATGAATTTCTGAAATAAGAGGGTTGTTTCTTTCTCAGGGGAATTCATGCATATGTGTTTGAAGATCACAGGCAGTCACCAAAAGGTTAATCGACACAGGCAGACATGCTTAATAAACACTCCAAAAAAACAAAAGATGGGATCAAAGTTCGCTTACAATGAGCTCACTGGTGTGGCGTCAGTGGGGAACAATGTCAGCATGTTAGATGCAGGAAGAAATCTAAAAATACTATTGAAATGTGGTCCTGCCAAACTTGTTACACCATAATTTTATTGGTAAATAATAAGATAATTCTTCTACGCTATAACTGACATTAGTTTAATCCAGATGAGGTGGACAAAGTTTTCCCGAAGACAAACTTGCAGTCATTTTTTAAAAATGACATACAAAACTTAATGAAATTTGATACCATTTTGAAAGAACCGGCAAAGACATTATTTACAAACACTACACCTGTCAGGTAGGTCAGGTAAGAGAAAAAAAAAACAAAAAACACTGCGAATAGCGGTAGTGAAAATGGATTACTGGGACTCAAGATAAAAAAGGAAGGTATTTGCCATGCAAAGAAGAAAACGATGGTAATGAGTGGGTCCAAATTACTCGCTACATTTATATTTTGATGAAGTTGGTAACAAATCTATTCATGTTTGGGTGGTGGCAAAACCGAATCTGCGCCAAAGCCAAGTTCACAACTGTGAACAATGTTTCAGATCAGCTAAGAAAGCAATTTTACTGAGGCTGTCACGAAAACCTTTGATTCATCGTTTTTGACACGAATCAATGATACCTCCCTTTAAATCGGCTGAGAGAAATTAACTGTTATTCGTAGAACGGTTTACTTGACTGGTGTCGGAACAGTTGAAGGCAGCCCACAATGCACTTCGCTACTCGCTGCTTTTGTTCCCTACGTCAGTCTTGCGTCAGTGTGCGGAACTGAAGAGAAATGTCGTCGCGTTGGTGGAGGTTTTAGTTTCTTTCAAGTTAATTTCAGTGTTGTAAAATTTGGAGCTATTTTACAAAGCAGATAGACTTTACAATGGCTGCCTGTGGACCCTCTAAAGCTGAGTTTGTGGTTGGTGAAAAATATCGTTTAGTGAGGAAAATCGGTAGTGGTTCTTTCGGGGACATTTATTTGGGAATCAACATCACAAATGGAGAGGTAAGTTGATGATATTTTAGTTCTGACGGTTTCAGAAGCCTCTTCTATATTCGGTGCACCCAGCAAATCTTGCGATATGTCCATTGGACGCCCTTAAACCTAGTAATTCGTACGTCTTATGGAGCCCCGTTCCCAGGGTCCCCATAGCCTAGGCTGCATTGCACGAGTACTCAAGGTCCGTGCACTACTTAAATTTATCTCGCTGTGCCTTTGGTTGGGCCCCTGCCTTCCGGTCGGAATTGATGAATAATGTCTCCTCTTTTCGGGTTATTCCCGTTTCTCCACTTAGATCGCCAACCGATCTTTTATTTGTTGTTGTTTTGGAAACGGTTACGTGGACGTTGATTCATGAATCGCAAGTTCTGAGTCATATTCGATTATAACGACTTGCAAGAGCTGCTTCCAAATGCCCCACCCTATGTTTGGAATATTTCTGAACCACTCGTACAGTCCCGAAATTTTTAAAGTTATCTGTCAGGTCGTTGACTAAGTGTGCTTTCATCAGTGAATCAATAACCTCGTTGCACTAATACTTATATTTTTTATTGTATTCTGTGAAAAATGTAAAATCTAATGCTGGGTGTTGCATTGCAATCGCCGATGAGGTATTTTGTCTTGTTTTCTGTTGTTTTAAATGTACAAATGATATCCATCATCAACTTTGTGGATCCTAGTGAGGTTAGGTTTCCTTTTTATAAAGCAGCCTTCATTGCATTGGCTAAAGTGATGTTTGTAACCTGTCTGTAAATTACACTTACTTCAAGATGTTCATTGTGCATCAGAATTTTATGTCTGTAAAAAAAAATACACTTTGTTTTTGTTTTTAATTTTCACTCTTATGCTGGGATTGCTTTCCATTACAAATTGTTCTGGGCCAGAAATATTTCTATCTTTTACATACTGCCATCAAATCATCTGTATTTTACTGTTCTCGAGTGATTCCTTGTACAATCTATCCCTAAATGATGTATTTGTATAACTTAAAGTGTATGAATTTCCCTAATTACTTTTGTCAAATGTACAGTGGTTTTTTTCTTTTATTTTATAGGAAGTGGCTGTAAAGCTTGAGCCTGTAAGAGCAAGACATCCACAACTATTGTTTGAAAATAAGCTGTACAAGATTCTTCATGGAGGAATTGGTATCCCACACATTAGGTGAGTTCAATCCTCCAAAGTTCCTTTTTATATTTTTATGTATCTTTGCTGATCAAAATACAAGTGCAACTGTGTGCGGCTGCTCCAGCATGGCAGAAAGGTGTTACCGCTGCAGCCAATGACATTCATTCATACTTTTTGGGCTGGTGTGTGCGTAGAACCGGCATCACATTCGCTTTTGAAGGGGTGCTTTGGCTGCCGGGCACAGTCACATCCCCTCTAGATCCAGCAGTGTTGCAGTTCCTCTCGATGGTGTCAGACTTTGCCAATGGCTGTCGTCCATAGGCCGTCAGCACGGGTTGCCTGTTCCCACACTGATATGTCGAAAGGGGCCCGTTAGGCCGAGGATATGTGCATTTCTTCGAGGGTCGTCTGCTTTGCGTGGGTGTTGTTGTAATCTCGCCGAGGCCTTGAGCGCGTCGAGCAGGCTGCCCGGCTTGCCCGTTCGAGCCCATCGATTCGAGCGAGACGGCGCCCGTGGACCCGCGAACGCCGCGAACGCCGCGAACGCCGCGAAGGCTGCGAAGGCGAGCGCAGTACACGGCGCCAAGGTCGTCGGGCCGTCTACCCCCAGAGCGAGCAACCCGCTCTCCCACTCGACCCTTTCGGCGGGGTTGGGGCTGGGTAGGGCTGGGTAGGCTGGGCCGAGGGGTGGCTGGGCCCCGCTACTACCCGCCGGGGCGGCAGGGCCTCCGGAGGGGTCATTGTACTCGTCCGATCGAGACGAGTCTCTCCCCTTTCTTGGTGGTGGTCGCCTGGCTGGGCCTGGCTGTGCTGCCGCTCGGGCCGCTTAGCCGCGTTGTGCCAAAGGGTTGTGCCATAGCCGCGAACGCCGTGTCCGCGGCGAATGCCCAGTGGGGGCGGCGCTAAGCCGTGGCTAAGCAGGGCGGGTGCGGCGGCGCGGGGCGGCGCGGGGCCGGGCCGCCAATCGATAATCGCGCGTCAGACGGAGCCCTCTGTCTCTCTCGCACTCGTGCGGCGGGCCGTCCAGTGCCGTCGGTGTGCAAGAGAGACAGTGGCGAAACCACTGTGCCCTACCCTTAGGCCAGGGCTGGCGCTGGAAGAGACACTTGCACTGGTTCTCCCCCGCCCCTCCCTCTGCCAGCTGTTTACGCGGGTCGGACCTGGCGGACCTGCCGTGCCGCGCGGGGGTGGGTGGAGTGGGGGTGGTTGGCACAGCGGCACAGCTGGGCTGGCACCGGCACCTTGGAACACGCAGAAACGGCACACGGCGGTTCGGGGTGTGGCAGGGCTTGGCAGGGTGGCGCGCAAGGGTGGTGGTTTTCTCGTTGACTCGTCCAGGTCTTTTGGGCTCGGTCCGGTTTCCCCGTCTGCATTTCGCGGCAGTGACCCGCGTCACGGTGGTCAGCTGATCGGTTCGGTCACTCGCGGAGCTGGGGTTTGGTTGAAGGGAGGGGTCTGTTTGGAGTCGGTTTCTATTTTGGTTTGGGGAGAGGTATACTTCCGGTGGGCTGGAGGGTGGTTATGAAGGGCAGGGCTAGGTCCGTTGGAGGACGGGCCCCGGTCAGGCCTTACCGCTCAACTCGCCACTCGCCTGGCCGGCTGCTGCTGCTGAGCACGGCCAGCACGGCGCGGCGATGCTGGCGCGGGGCGGGGCGGCAACACCGCGCGCCTCTCAGCTGGATGCGGCGTTGCCAGCTCGCCGCGCCGCCAGCCCGCCGCCGCCCGGCCCCGCGCAGCCCCGCCGCACTGTCTCCTCTTTCTTCTTTCTCTCTCGCGCGCACTGCCCTGTCCTCCCTCTCTCCGCGCCTCTCTCTGTCCATGCCGGGCAATGCCGGGTGTCCCTTTGTTTTGTCCGTTCCTCGGGGCGAAATAAATCGGCCAATTGGCGGGTGCCGTTCGGACCGGTAGGCACTGGACACCAATCAGCAAGGCTAGGCCTGGGGCCCTTGGGCCCTTGGGGCTTCGACCAGCCAGGGCTCCCGCGTGTCCTACCTGCCTTCTCCACCCTCTGCGCCGGAATATGGTCAGGACGTCCTGAACACGTGCCTGTGGCCGGTTCAGAACTCAGCTTTGTCGTCCAGCCTCGCTCGCACTCGAACAGAATTTGGCATGAGTGCGAGAGAGAAAGATGCTGTTCGGCATTGTTCTGCTGGAGTCTGGTGGTCATCGATCAACAGGTGCACGGCGCCGTGCCCTCTGGTGTGTTGCGCCGAGGAGCCAGGGCGCGTCGCGGACTTCTCGGACGCGCCGCCTTGCTTGTTTTCGCTGCCTGGCGCTGGCGGCGTAGCGCGCGGTTTTCTTTGGTGGAAACTCTAGCGTGGCGCGTGTGGCCGGGCAGCCCGCCAGCCTGGGCGCTGTGGCGCTGGGCCTGGGCCATCATGGGGCCATGGCCGCGGCTGCCGCGGCAGGCGCTCCTCGAGACGGAGAGGGCCGCCGCCGCTTCCTGCCGAGACGTCCGAGACCCCGAGACTGGCTCGACGGGCCGGACCAGACGGTCAGACGGGCCGCCCGACGAATGCCGTCATGCCGTCCCGTGGCGCAGGCGTGCCGGAAGGTTGCCTACCCTGCACGGCTGCTGGACGTCGCGCGCGTCGCAGTGGATGCGGTGGAGCAAGCGGCCAGAAAGTGAAATCTTCGCACCCGCCCCGCCTCGCTCCTCGGCCCCTCCCTCCCTTTCTCCGTCGCCATGCTCCGCCACGCCCCGCCGTCTGTCACGCTGACCGCCCTCCGCCGACACCTCCGCCACCACCTTGGCGCGTCGCGGTGCCTCGCGGTGCCTCGCGGCGCGGGCTGCCGAAAACCTTGGTCCACCAAGCGCGCGCTTTCTCAAGGCGACGGCGGCGGCGCCCCTCCCCTCGCAGTGTCGGGGCCCATTGAGCGCGGCAGCGCGACAGTGACGATGATTTCGGTGATCGGCGTGTCTGGCTCGGCCGGGTCGTTGATTTGTCGCGATGGCCTCATTGCGTCCCCGTGGTCCCCGTCGTCGGTGCCCCTCGGTGCCCCTCGGCCTCGCCGCCGCGGCGACGCCATGCGTCGTCGTTGCGCAAGGCTGGACGCTGGGCCGCGGGGCCCTTGGCCGTGACGGCGGCGCCGCGGCGTGGCGGTGCAGTTGCAGCGTCAAGTGCAGCCGGGGCGCCCTGCGCCGCCGAGGGTCCCGTTCCGTTAGCGGTCCGCGGCGTCCGCGGCCACCAGTCCAGGCCGGTGGCGCGGCGGGTCCCTCTAGGCAGGGCCAGGCAAGGCCGAGGCCGAGGGGTCGGTGAATGGGTGTGCGCCGCGTGCGGGGAGACCAGCCTCGTTGAAGGCGGCTGGCGTGGCGCCGCGCTAATAAGACGATATGAGTCAGTGCGGCGGGAGGGGCCGGCGCGGCGTGGCGGCGTGTGTTTACAAACAGGCTCTGCGTTGGGCCCCCGCCACGCCGCCAGCGCGGCGTGTTGTGTGGCGAGGGCCAGGCCGGGCCGCGCAGCCAGAGGATAATACACGCGACGCGATGAGCGACGGCGGTGATAGCGTCGTCCTATCGGCCGCGCGCCGCGTCTTGTCCCCGTCGGGCTACGCCGGGCGTGGCGGCCAAGCGCGAGCCGACCCACGTCGTCACCGCGTTCCTTTTGCGACGTTGACGCCACTGGGAGGGGGAATGCCCGTGCCGGTGGCGACGTTTTTGCGTTTTGGCGTGGCGGCCCACGGCTTGCCCGCGGCTCGGCGTGTTCCCACGGTCCGCGCAATGAAACGTCACAAACGGGTTGAGTGAGGCTGTTCGTCCAGCTGCACCGGCAGTAGTGGCGGTGGCGAGCGACTCGGCGACAAGGAAAACCAGATGCGACCGCTCGGCTCGGTTCGGTTCGGTTCGGCCGGACGGGATGGACGCGACGCGATGCGGCCTGGCCCCGGACTGCCCCGGACTGGCCTCGCCCGCCGCTGAAGACGTTCCGGTCTGATTTGGGGGCACCGCGCGGACCGCTCGCGCGCGCGTGCCTGCGTGCGTGTCGTGTGCGTTGGTTTCCGGGCGTTATGTCCGCGGTGTCGACCCGCTTCGGCGTGACGCGGAGCAGCGCGAAGCGGCGCAGACAGTGGTGCAATGCATGGCCGCGGCAGCGCGGGCAAGATTACTCTTGCTGACGGGCAGGGCCCGGCTGGATCCGAACGCAGTCGCTTTGGTCGCTCTGTCTGCCTCGCAGCGCCCTTGGTGCGAGAAAGAGAGAGAGCGAATGGGGCACTGCTCGGAAGCCGCCTGCAGGGTTGAGTCAAGTCAAGCCGAGTCAGCACTCGTCACCCACTCTCCGGGTATCGGGTGGCATCACCGCCGTCGCGCCGCCGCCTCGCCTTGCGCAGCGCAGCGCGAATCTTGTTGTTGTCTGCGAAAATAGACTGGAAGTGTTTATGTAAGATGCAGATCGGCGCCTCGTGGCGGGGCGGGGCGGGGCTGACGCGCTCCTTGATCGGCAATGAAAGTCGCGCGGCGTGGGCGACGACGTCCAATTGCCGCCGTTTTCCCCGTGTCTCGTTTCGCCGCGGGCAGGGCCGGGCGGGGCCGGGTCGACGCTCGCGCCCGTGTGTGTGTGTACGGATGTATTGGTGTGTGTGGATTCCACTGATGGGCCGGCTGCGTTGGCGGCTGGAGGTCTTTGACTCGGTGCGCGGTGCCGCGTGAGTGGAGTAGAGTGTACACGGCTACGGCCCGCGCGGCCTGCGGCCCGGGGCCCGGCCGGGTCTGCTGACCTGCGCCGGCTTGCTGCTCCTCTAAATACTCATTGGCTCACGTATATGGCGCGGCCGTGCGGGGCAACGCACGGGGGCGCGGCGAGGGGCACCGGCCGCCAGCATGGAGCCAGCAGCCGCGAGTCGGCGCTCTCCGCGAGGCTCGCGGAGGAGCACGCGGAACGCGGAGAGCGGAGCTAGGCAGGGTTTTGGGTGGCCGCCGCGTCGGCGTTTACGGTCCCCCTCCCCCGAGACTCGGAGACTCCGCAGGACGGACTCGGCGGTGGGCGACACCGCGATGAGTGACTCATCCACCTGGCCGCCTTCAAGGTTTCGCCTCG